TAGTCAGTATTCCAAGGAAAAAACCTAACAAGGCTGAATTTAGATAAAATGGGTTAATGCCATCTAGCAAATTCTTAGGGAACTAAAGTTACAATTAGGAGTAGTGTTGTAAAAAACTCGAGTACGAAAGTCTACATTTATAAATTCGACTCAATTTTGCACGGTTCGGTGGCTTAAGACACTCGCGAGTCCGAGTCAAGTCCAGCACGAGTCATCGGAGCAAGGACTGCTGCCTAAAAAGAACTCGAGTTTTAAACAAAACTCGAATTAGAAAACCCGACTCGAGGCGACTTCTACTCAAAGTATCGGATAAGACAAGTAGGGTTCAATACTATTGCCCAAAATTAAGTAAAAAAAAAAACAAAAACCTATTTATTTATACTACATTTTAACACATCCCGCACTAGACTCGAGCTCGACTTGTTACATAAACAGACTCCAATTGGGGCGTGACTCGTTACATAAATAGACTCGATCACTAATGTCGAACTCGACTCTATTCATCGAACGGTAGGTCTTTATGAGTCGAGTCTTGTGAATTGGAGTCGAGTCCTTTATTGTGGGAATCTACACTCGGGTTCTTTACAACACTACTTAGGACAGTCTATCTCAGTAATACATTGGTACTTAAATTACTAAGAAAAATAAATAATTATATAAGCTGAGCAACGAATTTGCTAAATTGATATCAATCATTATAAATCGTTTCTAATTTTACTGAAGAAATTATGTGTTTTATTATCGTATGGCTGAATGTACTTCGACTCTCCGCCTTTTAATTTTATTTCAATTATGAACAAACCTTTACGCCTGCGTAATTACTATAATTACGAAAACTCGATATGTTCATTACATTTGTTACGAAATTCTATAATATCTTTGTAATACACACAAGTAGCAGTAGATCTTCTCGTGAAAGAGCTCGTCCAAGGAAGTACTGCCACTTTACCTGTTTCAACCGCCAAGCAGAAATGCTCACATTACTGCGTTCCGGTTTTGAAGGATAAGGGTGCTGGTGAAATTACAGGCACATGGGACTTGTCTACTTATACCGGTTATAATCTAAAGCTCTGATTGACACTGCAACTGCTATAGGCAGGAGTGTCGCTTACCACCAGGTGCACGACTATTTAGTCCCGTCATTTGGTACATAAAAAAGCATTAATTTTAACCGGCAGTACCTCTTGCACAATACAACAAAGGAACAAATTATCAGGTAGGTCCAGGCAGTCATCAGGACTCGACTATAGTAATAGGGATTTTTATAAATGATTTGCAGTGCCACTCAGAGCCATAAATCGCAAAGATCGGAGGGGCACTGCCACTGCGCCCGTCACCCTGAGACATAAGTTGACAAGCCCCATGTGCCTGTAATTTCACCAGCACCCTTGCCCTTCCCAACCGGACCACATGAATGGTCACATTACTGCATGGTGGCATAAATAGGTAAGGTGGCATACTTCCCTGGACGAATTGTTTTACTAGTAAATGTACTGCCAGGTGGCAATACCATATCTGCCGCCCAGCAGTACTGTGAGCATTGGTGTTAAATTTATAATCGACTTTTTTTTTACGGCTACTCTGGTCGAATGGCTTGCACACAGGTTTTCGTCACAGGTGTCGCCATCTCTGAGGTCTCGAGCTCAATCTCCGATCGGGTCAGTGTAGATACTTTAACTATATTGTCTCTGGTCTGGGTGTTTGTGGTACCGTCGTTGTTTCCAATTTCCATAACACAGTGCGTTAGTTACTTTGGGATCAAAGTAACGTTTGTGATGTTGTCCAATATTTCTAAAAGATTTCAAAAAAGCAGTATGTTCTCAAAACGATTGTATTCTTTTTATGTACATATGTTCCTCGACTCGGCATTTTTGAAACGATTTTAACGATTTTTTTTGGAAAGACTGTACCTCATTTTTTCCTATCGATCATATTTAAGTTTGATGAAAATATTACACTCTAAGGGTGGCAAACTAGGCGATGAATCCGGTTTCGGGAAACCGTTTTCAATAAAAGTTGGCAAATAGATGTAATTCCATGAACTTACTAATAATTATATCTCTTTTTAACCGACTTAAAAAAAGGAAGAATTCTCAATTCGACTGTATGTTTTTTTTTGAATGTATGTTACGCAGTAACTCCGCTATTTGTGAACCAATTTTCAAGATTCTTTTTCGTTGGAAAGAGGGTACCTCCATAGTGGTCCCATTTAATTTTGAAGAAAATCATCCACCTCTAAGGGTGGCTGTTCACGCATGAAGAGTCATTTTTATAAAAAGCGCCTAAATTTTAGTATGATGAGCAATTATTTTAATTGTTGATTTTGCTATTCTCCAATTCAAGGCGTTTTTCCCTCTCGATATACTTTGAGTAGTGAGAACCGATTTTTATTATCTCCTGTGTCAAGTACCGTATAGTGGCGAACTAGGGGATGAATCCGGGTTCAATAAAACTTGGTAATTATATGTAATACCACGTGCTTTTGAGTTCGGTTTCTTTAGTATTCTGTACTGAGATTATTGTCATATGTTTTTTATTCTTTGTTACGGTCCGTCTCTGCGGCAATTGCACCGCGGTAAGCTTGCACAACCACTCACACTTGGTGTACAGTCGAAACCCTAAAATACCTGATCCAATACCAGACGTTTTGATTGTGAGAGCCTTCTTAAGCAGTATACAGAAAAGCTATTTAAGTAAGTATACGTTATTCCACTTCTAAGGGGGACAAATTAAGAGATGAATATGGTTTATTATTCACCCATGCCAATAAAACTTGACAAATGGCAATTCTACAAACTTTTGAGATCTGCAGGGTTAAAAAGGCGGCACTAGAAGAATCATAATGTGAATAATTAAATAATCATATTATGATTCTCCCAATACGACCTTTTTTAGCCCTGCAGTTTTTTTTCATGAAAATGTTATAATTATTCCATACAACCTGTGTTACCAAGAATAAATGAGCAATGTTCAATTAAACATTATATAAGCATTTCAATTTGTCTTAGTTGGTTATATTAATAGGCAACATTTATAAAATATAAGTTAAATATGTGTTATGTTTTATGGTAACCCATTCTACTTATAATCTGTTCCATTGAAGTGTGCATATTGCTGTGTTTTTAAATATATACAAAAATTAAGTCTCTAGCCTGCGTTTTATTTAACAAATAACAATAGTTATCTCTAAAACTTACCGGATATTGAAAGACACTGTCTATTGTTGGTAGATACGCACCTGAAAACAAAAGCAGAGCACTAGTTAACTATTTAAACATCGCAGGTAGAGGCAACTTCTAAACCTAGATGAAGTTGTGGTTCTGGTTTAGCTGAGTAAATTACGAAGTTAAGGAGATGTGCAATAAATATTAGAATACAATATGAAGCTTTCTGTTAACTAAAGTTTCTCAACGATAAGTTTCGCTACTTGCGCTAAAGAATAAACTTGGCCATTTAGGAGAGGCGGAAAACTGTTTTGCTAGGGATTCTCATGTGGGGTAAAGCGGCAGATATACAAACCATACCTGTTTTGCAAAAACGAGAGATTCGTTCTGTGTACCGTTTAGGTTCTCGGATTTCTCTCAGAGAAAAGTTTAAGGACACTGGTATCATGACTGTGGCATCACAGTATAACAATTACTCAAATATTTTATACCCTTAAAAATATACATAATTTCGTTAAGAAGTACCACGATTTCGTTTTACCAAAGTAAACGACTCTTTTATGAGAACTGTATACGTTTTCACAATAAGATTCCGGAGCATATATTAAGTTTACTATTTCCTAAGTTTAAAACTTACATTAAAAGTATTTTAATTGAAAAGTCATATTACAAAATTGTAGACTACGTGTTAGATAAAGATGTATGGAAAGACAACGTGAGTCTAGATTCCACACAAATATGAGCCAAAATGTATTCTATAGCATTTAAGTTTGTTTGACAAGACCAATCCCTAGAGTTTCTTGCTCGTTCTTCTCAGGGAGGTCAGCGTAATGAACGAGCAGTACCTTAAAAATGACGTTTTCAAGTGTAGACATTTTACCTATGTAATAAATGATGATTTGACGTTGACTTTGCCTACTTTGCCTGTCGTGCGCCTGATGGTAAGCGACACGCTTATCCATAACAGTTGCAGTGCCACTCGGAGCTTTAAATCGCAAAGATTTGAGGGGCACTGCCACTGCGCCCGTCACACTGGGGCATAAGTTGACAAGTCCCATGTGCCTGTAATTTCACTAGCACCCTTACCCTTCAAAACCGACACACAGTAATGCTGACATTACTGCTTACTGCAGAACTTCCCTGGACGAGCTCTTTCACATGTAGCTCTGCTGCCACTAAAATGTAGTACTATTGCTTTATTCAAAACCAAGAGTGCCTTGTTCTACACTAAAGAACCCTAAAAACATTTTTAATACGATAAAAAGCGAAAAAGAATCGTGATTTCAAATTTGATATCAAAACGTCTTCAAAACTCGAATCGATTACTTTGATTTATAAACTTTTCTTTATCATGAAATTTCACGCGCAAATGTAAACTTTATTACTAAGGTGATTCGTTTCATTCTCATACTACTATTAGAAAGTATCTTTTTATTAGAACGACGTTACTTTGCATCAATAAAATACTTTTCAGTGCTATCACGGTACATTTGTGCTTCCAATTCTTAATCTTTATTAACTTGACAGGTTTAAAAATAAACTAGGCACCGTACATACGATGTTTGATCCTAAACTAAAGAACTGATTAAACAAGATCTAAAACATTTACTAAAAAACAATCTAGACGTGAATATCTAAGCTCATGATTCACTAGTTTCCTGTTAAAGAACTTAAATTTTTAAATTACACGAGCTCAATAAGCTCTTAATTTTCAACCAAAAAAGAGTCCCAATTAATATTAATTTTTTTTATATAACAAAACATTTCCTATTTATTATTCCGGATTTAAATCGCGTATATTTGTTTTTTCAAACAAACCAACGTTTCGGGCCCTTTACAGATCCCATGGTCACGGTTTAAATCCGGAAGAATAATTTCATTTGCTATGTGTAACAATCGCGAAAACCTAAGAACTCGAAAACATTTTCTGTCAATTTCGAAACACCAAAACCATAGGAAGAATAACAAATTCGTTATATTATAAAGTTCTGTCCACACAGCCACCGTATTATTTCAAAAATTCTCATCTCATCCATACGCACAAAAGAATATCTTCAAAAGAACTAAACATATGATATTTTAAATCTGTCGAGTGTAGTCGGTTCTCACACGGTAACGGCTTATCGCGGCGACAAGATCAAACGCTTCGTATAGATTCACAAACAGCTGTTGCATCGCCAAATCGCCAATGCAACTAAAGTGCGTGATGCTACAAGCGACCACACAAATACCAATGCTACGTGTCGCGTCATTGCGACAAGAGCCGCCGTGTGAGAAACACTGAGCCAGTTTATTTTAAAACATTTATTTTGTCTATGGAATCACAGAATCGACATCAACACTATTAACAGTAACTGTCCCTTTTAATTTGAAACACGAAATGTTATCTTTTAAAGTATTTTTAATTGTCGGTAAGTATTTCTTTTAATTAACCCATATTAGTTTATCATCCTTCACGAGGGTAACCCGAGCGCGATCAATACAAACGAAGTTTCATCCTATCATGGATATTACCTCATCAAATTCAAGGACAGTCTGTAAACACGATCTTGAACTTAATGTCAAAGGTCGCGGTTTATCAGTTTCCTGTTAAATTATATAGTTTCAAAATGACACCCAGGGTTATCCAACTGTGAACCACCGCGACCACCGATTCAGATTTAAAATTGTGTGCTTCAAGACAACTCTTTGCGATTTTACTTGACACATCCTTAGTATCGGAAATGTGCACCAGCAATCACTTCCCATCTGGATTGTATATTATAAAAACAAACCAGGGTATCTTCAAGTTATCTACTAATATGTCAAATTCAGGCATTTTATAATTTCACCGATTTCAGATTTCCATTTTCTTCCGCGCAAGTCGTAAAACTGGAACATCAGCGTTGGTGCTATGTTCCTTTACCATGATTGTATACAATATATATGTTGTATTGTTTCAGGGTTGCTATTATCCGGTGTACAAACAAGACCAAGCATTGGAGCAGGATACAACTCTGACACTATGGAATTTAAGTTTGTTTACAATTTAAGACCAAGGATACCTTTTGCAGGTACCTGTTTGATCTGTTCCACTTCTATTTCTGTACTTACAGGACTATTTTCATTGTCCAACGCCAGTATCTCGGCAGTTAAAACTCTGGGCGCTGGATCAGCAGATCCTGGTTTTTGAAGAAAAGACTATTCTAAATTGGTTCTGGTTCTAATGTTATGGACAGTACCTTAGCAGTAATTGTTATTTTGGTACTCATCGTCATCAACTCATCTATAGGTTCCACTGTTGGGCACGGGTTTTCCCGGGTCAAAGGTTGTGAATTTCGACCCGGTTTCATCACGATGTTTTCTTAAATCGAAAAACTGATTCATTTTCTTCTTGGGGTGCCATCTCCTATCGGAGGTCGGCTATCATTATGGCAATTTGAGTCCGTGAAGTTGCGGCTCGGAACAGTTCTGTGGTACTTATGTGTAACCATTCTGCAAGATTTTGAAGCCATGTGGTTTTTCTACGACCACGTCTTCTGCGGCCCTGGATTTTTCCCTGCAGAATGAGTCGCAGTAGGGAGTATTTATTACTTCGCATGATGATTATACTCTTATCACAGAACATCAGAGAACAGTTACTAAGGAATATTTGTGATATATTTTGTTTTTCCCTACCTCCACGTACTCACGTTACTCCTTATCCCAACAATCCAAACATACTGAAGATTGGAGCTCGTCAGAATCTCCTGTACGCTAGGCTGTTATTTGATACAGTCAAAACTAGGACTCCTAGATACCTATATGATAAACTGAAGTGGTCATCTAACGTTAACGTACGCTACAGGGAAAGACGTGCCCGGTCATGTGTACTTATGGTACCGCAACAGAACTGCAGCATTTTGGGGTAGTTTAAATGCTGGAATAATATTCTGCCACCTGTACGTGACGAGTCATCCAAACACAAATCAAAGCACTTTACCGGCAACACCTACTCTCGTTACAAAAATCTATCTAATTTGTTGAAATTTTAGTATTAATATTACTTTTCATATCCCCATGTACTCTTTCTCGTAGCCTTTCTAAATGCTCATTTTTTACTTTGATTTATTACACCAAAACATATTCGCAATCATTATTTTCACTTACACTTACACTTATATGTATAATCCGCACATGCACTTACATATTGAATAGATTACTTTGGATGCACCAATCACACTTTATTACATTTATTATTTTAATGAACAATTTCCCTCGTAGTCGTTTGTTAGATCTTTTATACAAATAACTTCTAGATTTAGTACCTCTCGTTAGTTCTGACTGAAAACCAGCGCCTTAGGGAACTTAGGTATGTGCTAAATTAGCGCCATTTCACTGCTATGACCAAAATGTTTTACTTTTCCTGTTGTATTCAATTTGTATTTGTGTCATACTAGTGAATTAAGTGTTTATATATTTATCTATCTACTAAGTTGAGTTTGGGTGTAATTTGTGGTTGTCTATGTGTGTGTCCATGGCACCCGTGACACAGGGTTTCCCTAGTGCGGGCCTATGTTGAGTATGTGCGTTATTTATTTATTTATTTAAGTTGAAAAATTCTCTCAATAAATATTTTTTTTTACAAAAAAATCTATTTCTTAGGTTTTTCGATTATTTACTTAGGAAATGAAACTGTTTTTTCGGGTTTAAATTTGTTTTTTAAACCATAATTTCGAGTCATTGACAAATCCCAAGTTCATGGCTGACTAAACCATCTCAGCCAGCCGTGACCATGGGATCTGTAAAGGGCATTATATTTGATTTCCAATCTATTTTTTTTCCAGAAAGAGGTTACCTGACCTCGTTATTGGTAAACGGATTTCTGCCGAAATTGCAAATCAATAGATGCCGGTCAGAGCCGAGTCGTCGCCACGCTGACTGCGACTGACACATTGGAGTCAACTTTTTTTCGCAAATTTGTAAGGGTTAACTTTGTAGCATCGCGATAGATGACAGATATTAGCGACGGTTCTGTAAGGTATTTTTCATCATACTTGCTCGTAAATGGTATGATTGCAAGGAGGCTAACTAGGCTATAATGCCCCAAATAAAACACTCCGGCCTATTTTCTTCCCATTACAGCCATGGTCTATAAGGGTTTTTTAATTTGTAGCACGACATACTTCCAGATTTAAGTTGAAATAATTCAGCCACATATATTTAAACACTTATTATTAAGAATTTCTTAGGTTCGTATTCCAGAACTCTACTCAATTCTCAAGTCAGGATTTGAGCAGACTTGAGTATGATTTCAAGCACTGGAAATACAACCCTAATGGCAAGGGCTTGAGTATGATTTTCACTGCAATACTCAAGCCCTGACTTGATTTTAATTATTGTTTGTATAAAAATTTTGCATTTTTTTTACAATCCATCATGACTGTACGCGTCTACGCTTTTTACAAGATTTTAGTTCGAGTTGTATTATCTAAGGAAGAACAGCTAGCTGGCCATCTGTTGATAAAAAAACCCGTAATTAGTAAAATCCATAAATAATTGTTGTGTTGTGAACCATATTTAGACAAGAAATAAACGTTGTACATATTTCCTGGCAAATGTGATGAAAAACGTTGTACGTATCACGGACGGTAAAAAACTACAAAACTCGAGTTGTTAAAGCCCTCAGCCTTCGGCTTCGGGTTTCTAATAGTCCCTCGTTGGTAATTTCTTATTTACCGCCGTCCTTAACACACAATACCTAATAATACTATAACCGCGCATTGCCTACTAGGTATCTGCCTCGTGACATATAGAGGGAATGGAAGACTGGCCATGCATGTAACCTAATGAGCTGGAAACAGATATTACATAATAGTAATCCTGGGAATTATGAATTTGCCCGTGTGCTCCATAAGTTGTACGGAGCGCACTCGGAGGAATACCTTGATGTTTGGAAAGTTTTATCGTGAACAAAAGGCGTATGGTGACAGAGAAAGAACGTATAGAGCCGTTTCACTCTTTGCATAAATTCAAAATGTTTTTTTAAACGACTTCAAAAAAGGAAGAGGTTCTGAATTCGACTGTACATCTTTTAGTGTGTGTTCGTTATGCGATTACACCGATTTGTGAACCGATTTTGATGGTTCTTTTTTTGTTGGAAAAAAGGTGCTTCAGTATTGATCTCATTCAAATTTAAAGAACATATTCCACCTCTAAGGGTGGCAAACTAGGGGTATCCGATTTCAGTAAAACTTGGCAAATAGATGTGATTCCACGAACTTAGATTACTAACAATTTATATCTCTGTTTGTTATGGTGTTTATTATTCTTCGTTATGATCCGTCTCTGCGGCAATTAGCAACGCGGTAAACTTGCACAAGCCAAGTACGCTTGGTGAACAGTCGATATTCTAAAATACTTGATCCCATTCTAGCGTTAATTAGAATTATTTATCCCATTGTTTACCGGCAATTATTGGGAATTTTTAATTTCCATTTGTAACCACTGGCAACAACTGAGATTTTTTTAACCCATTTGTCACTATTTGGCAACAAATGGGGTTTTTTTTCCAATTTGTCGCCAGAGGGAATCACCACTAGCATCAAATAAGATTTTTTATCCCGTTTCCGTATCCCGTTTTTTATCGCCGATCACGTGTCGCTACAAAGTCAACCTTAAAACTAAATAATATAAAGTTCATTTATCAACAAATATGTATACTGATTTTCGAAATCAAAGTTAGTATTATAAATTTAGCTCTTTTGTCACGCTAATTACCATTGTATATAATTTTAACTGTATTTATATTATTTTAATACATATAGTTATGTGTATAATTAGAAATTAAATATTTATTTTACGTGTGTGATATTTATTTTGACAACATTATATGTATGTAATTTCAATAAATCCTTAAATATTTATTAATTTTGTTTAATTTGATACGTTTCCTCATTGACTTACAATTATATGGACGTCGGGTCCGCGCTAAAAAGTGTCTGAACTTATAGGGCGTTAAAATCGTATACAGAGCGTCATTCACGCTCTAGTCTTCGTTTGTTCGACTGACAGCGAAGCAAGCAAAATTAGACAG